CATGGCCCGTGCCAAAACAAAGAGTGCTGTTCTTCACGTGACTGGCTGGGCAGTGATGTGTCGCGGGCCTCCTGAGGCGCTCGGCGAGGTATGAAACGCTGAGCAGGGCACACCAAGCATACTAAACATCAGGGACAATCTGCCAGGCAATACGTTTTAGAAATGCACTATTTTTAATCCTGAGGGTGGGGGGGATGGGGGGTTGGTGTTTTGGTTTGGTTGTTTCTGAGTTTGTTTTACTTGACAGTACTTTTGTACTACTTAAATCAAACTGAGATAATCCTTTTCATAGCTGAAACTATGAAATTCATGGTGAATCTAGGGGTATTTATAGCTCATGCGTGGAAAAACTGCAAAGAAGACAGAAGAGAGAGGTTCCCCATGTGACAATATTACAAAGCAGGCTTCACACAAATCACCCTCTGTACGTTGTGTTCAAGTAAAGCCCAAAACAGAATGTGCGGCTAGCAGCAGAACTGCAGGACTGTTCTCCAAGAAAAATGCTGTGTAATTCAATTTCAGACTGCTGACGGAAATGAGGCAGCGAGACTTAACACTTCTCAACATCCTGAAATGCAGCTGCACTCAAGCTCCTTGTGTATGTCTTGCTTCTGTACCCAGGAAATTCACCATCATCTTTCACCTTTGAGTCACTCTTAGAATCCAAGTGTACATGGTAGGTATTGACCATTAGAAGACTTTAGTCCATGAGTCAAGAAGTCTGTCCAGCTGCTGTACAGTCCTGTACGCAGGAACTTGCAATGCTAGGGATGGTGCTATGAAAGTAAATTAAACTGAAACCCACAAAAGTAGATGTGTGTGAAGAACTGGTTTTTTCACCTTAGAAGCTTCTAGTCTCACTCTTGCAGGCCTGTCTTCTGTGTCCCATGCTGTGAATGATTTGCATAAATTACTACTATAGCAGGATTTGTATTTCATTGCATTCTTGGTCACCCACTACAGTTCTTGAGTTATGCCTAGGAAAAATGTTTTATTGTAAGAACTATAAACCTAGCAGAAATAGATTCCTCCTGCTTCCTCACAAAATGTGCTGCCACAGCTGACTTCACAAAAGGCTGTTCAGTCTCTACCCTGCAGTGTTTGTGTTCTGGCTTTCTGTTCTGATGACACATTACCTCCTGGGCAAAGAGTGTCTCTTCCTACATGCTTGGACAGTGTCTAGAAAAATGGGAACCTAAACTAATTTTGCAACTCTTCGTCTGTAAAACAAAGGGAATATTCAATCCAGCTCTAATAAATTTCCATCTCATGCTATTTCGAATCTTCTTTTTACTGCCTCAAGGCCTACTTTACTCTGTAGTTGCAGTTATAATTGCAATAGGCACAAATTCATAAAATTCAGGCATTATAGAACATTGTAGTAGATGAATTAATAACCTTCCCCATTGATACAAACAGAGTATGGTCACATAGCTAATAAACTTGGAGGGGTGTTGCATTTTGTTAGAGAAAACTCCAGGTTTCTTTCTGACAGATACTGTTAATCAGGATAGCATTTGAGATATAGAAACTATATTATGCTCAGAATCTTGTTTGTTGGCAAAGAGAAAGCATACCTCTTATTTAACTATGGCAGTAATTTGTTAAAAGAGTAACCAAAATTCTATGTGTCAGATCGCTATTAGTCCAGCAGTGTTGCACAAAAAGAAAGAATAATGGGTTTTATGCACATATTTGTTTCCTTCCCCTGTTCTTGGTGGTATGCTCACCCTTCTACACCCTTCTACAGCTGCTCTGGATTGTGAGGTTGCTGGTTTCAGTCTTGGGCAGTGGTGAGAGGAAAGGACATTACAGCAGATTGTCAGTATCTGGAGCCCATCTCTGAGAGGAATATGATGTTTATATTGCTGGTTTCTTCTTCCTTTCTTTAAGGGGTTGCACTCACACTTGGGGGTAAATTCTTATAAGCTTTTGTAAAATACTTTTGTATGATTTTCTGGTTAGTCACAACTCCATATTATGTTTGAGTGTACTACATAAGATGCACACATACATATGTTGGATAATACTTTGTTCTGGTTTTGCTCTAGGTGACTCTGCTTGAATGGGGCTGGTTGGCTAAAATTACCTCAAGGGTAGTGTGTAAACATCGTGTGCAATTTGTACACTGCCACTATGGTTTACATTGAATTGTTAGCAGCCTTAGGGGGGAAAATTATGTAGCTCTCCAAAGAATCCTCTGAGTTGAAGAAACTAGTTACCATTACCATGTAATTTTTCGCTCTTTTTCTTTACGGCCATCTAAAACAGAGCTCCAGTGCAATGCTAACAGAAGCCATTTTGCCATTAGGCAAAAAGTAAAATACTTAGTGCAGTGGGTGAAATTTAGCCTCTGTGCTAGTTTCAGATGCTGCTTTGGGAACTTGTGAACAGCATTAACACACTTCCCACAGAGATGCTCCCACTGCAGATTCTTCATCCTTGGACACTATGTGTCTGACTGAGTACTTATTAAAAGCTGGTAACTCCCAGCACTATGCACATTGTACACACACACATATAAAATCCAGTGGTGCAGATTTAACCTCACGGTGAGACAGAGAAGCTAGTTGTGTCTCTTACCCACTTTGCACTCTAACCTGACTTTCCTCTCAATGCTCCTGGAAAACGAGCAGCTGCAAATGGTAGGACTTAACAGATGATGGCTAATGAGGAAATAACAAAAGCATTAGTTCAAAGACCACTTTCCAAAATTTCCCAACTGCAGGAATTAGCCTTGATCCTTAAAGCTCCTGCTGGACAATTCACTGCAGAAATACAGCTCTGGTGTCACCTCTCTGCAACATAAGGCATTAAAGTAATCGAACAGACCCACATTTTTTCAAATTGTTTTTCTCATGAGGAAAATCTGTTGAACATGGTGAAGGAGGTTTTAATGAGTTTTACTGTGTTTATGAGATGACATAGGACATTCCTTAAGGTTTTTATGAATAAGCATTGCTGTTATTTCACAGCATGAGAAGAGGTACAGAGAAGACAGACACTGCACTGGTAGCTTGGAAACCCAAGCTGGAGTGCCAGACTACTTGCTACTTATTTTAGTAGATTAATTGAACTGATAGGAGTGCAATCTATATTCTCCTCTACTCCAGCATCACATCCAGAGCCAGACACCTTTCTTATATTTGACAAGTCTATTATAACAACAGCGGGGAAAAGGTGTTCTTAATTTTGAGTTGTTCAGAGAGTTAATTTTGTTTCCCTTCGTTTTTAAAACATGTAACCACTATAACACTTTATTTTTTTTTTTTTAAATTCCAGAGAAAGCACACGTCCCGTTGGGTATTACCCTAATGCTCGGGAGAGGTGTGCGCGGTTAAATGGCTCCTGCGCCAGGTGCGGCTCGGCGGCTCCCGGCCCGCCGGGCCTCGGCAGCGCCGTTCCCGCCGCAGC